GAAGCCCAAGGTCAGATGCTGCAGGATAGGTCCATGTAACTGAGAATCCCAAGGTCAGATGCTGCAGGATAGGTCCCTGTAGGTCAGGTCTGAAACGTAGGGGAAAGACTGATACAATGCCGTAAGCATGGGCTCTGTTCTTCTGGGATGCTACAGTCTGCCTTTTCTGCAGTGTAGAGCAGTAGGCCTTGCTGTGTCTCTCTCTCCAGAACCGGTCCTAACCAGTTCCTGTTTATTGTACAGACTAATTTCCTTTGAGAAATTGTGTAGCTGCTGGCACTCAGATTCTTTAACCAGTTTTCTTTTCCCTTTTTTTTTTTCTATAAATTTTCTCTAAATTCTTTTAAAATAATGGTCACTTACAGAATTTTTCATATTAACTTTCTCTGTACTTCCAATTCCAGTAAAGTAACAAGTATTTAGGGTCTGGGGAGTTGCCTCAGCAGTTAAAAGTGTATATTGCTCTTGCATAGGCCCTTGAGTACTGATGGGGAACGTTCTTCTGTGTATGTTTGTCTTATCGGTTAAATAAAGCACTGTTGGCCAATAGGGAAGTGACTTTTCCTTGCCAGCTGCTTTGGTTTTTCCCCACCAGTCGCCTGGGCTCTGCTGCATTGTAGTCCCCAAATAACACACAAGACGCTGTATTAATTATGAAGTTGTTGGCCTTGCTTGTTTCTTACTGGCTAGCTCTGACTTAAGTATTTATCCCATAATTGTTAATCTAAGTATTTCTCTTAACCGGAGAAAAGTTCTGGACATCTTACTTCTCTGGCTGGCTATATCGTGACTCCCTGTGTTTCTCCTACCCAGAGTCCTCCTGTACTCCTAGTCCCACCTCTCTTGCTTCCCTATTGGCCAACAGGGAAGCAAGATGGGTGGGACTAGGAGTCGTGGAGGATTCTGGGAGATGAAGTAAAGAGAAGTCGCCATGTGATTTAGGCAGGAAGTGACATGGCAGTGCAGAATCAGTATATAATCAGGGACAAGCAGGAAATTGGTCTCTTCTCTGTGGAGACTGTGAGCAGACGCAATGTAGACCCCAAAGGAGTAAGAGGTCACATGGAAATACATGGATTATTAGAAAATGGGTGAATAATCAAGACTACGCAAGCCAATAAGAAGCCCAAGTCACCAGCCAACAGCTTTAATTAATATAGCATTTCGTGTGTTCATTTGGGACTGACACAACTCTGGGATCAGGCTTGAGGCATACATTTACATGTAAATCTGACAAAAGCTTAAAAGAGGACCTTAGACACAAAGGAACAGAGACAAGCATGGCTTCTTGGTAGCAGCATTTTCCCGGGTAGGCCATATTTTCCTAGAGACAAGCAGAGAGTCGAGTGGCTCCTTTAAGGGAGTGTTCCTGACTCGGCATGAGCGACAAAAAGCTGCAAGGCTCTTTTAAGGGGACCTGCTAACAATCGAATGGTGGGTACGAGCAGCTGGCAGCGGCAGTGAGCACATCTCCACGCTGACAGCATGCTGCTTGATGGCAGCAGAGACCAAGGCAGTGAGCACAGCTCTCAGTGCTGGCGGTAAAGATACCCCGCCATGTTGGAAAGACAGCGGCTAAGCAGCTGCAGCTCTAATTTTAGCAATGTTGTTTAGCAGATAGAGGACTCGTGGCCAGAAAAAGATAGACAGTAAAGACAGCCTCAGAGGAGAAAAGTAAAACCTCTAAAGTTTAAAATGTGTTAACAATATATGTAGGCTTGTGAGAGAAAAGAAACAGGATAAAGTAAAAAAAATTAAAAAAAAAAGAAAGAGTATTTGGGTGTGGTGGCATACGCGTTTAATGCCAGTACTCGGGAGGCAGAGGCAAGCAAATTTCTGTAATTTCAAGGCCAAACTGGTGTACAGAGTGAATTCCAGGACAGGCAAAGTTACACACAGAAACCCTGTCTCAAAAAATAAAATAGGAAAAGAAATAGAGTAATAAAAAAGCCACATAAAGATGGAAAATACAGTCTGGATACTGTTTGTTATTGTGTTATGTTTGAATTGTTTGGTTGCTGAAGAAAGAGCAAAAGCTGCTAACAGATATTTGATTATAAATGCTCCTGGATTAATTCACATTATATATTTTAAAGATGCCTTGAATTCAAAATTAAATTTAAGGGCATGTTACTTTGGAAAAGATTTTATTTATGTTTTCACAAAAAATGAAAAGCTTTGGATTCCTTCCAGGCTGATATGGTTTGATGAAGCAAGAACCCCTGAAGCAGTGGCCCAGGTGATCCAACATCTAAAACAACTGGGACAAGGAAGCCTTGCAGATCACTACAGCCAGGATTTCTGGGTTTTCTTAGGATCCCCATGACAGCGCCCCAGAACAACAGGAAGCAGTTTGGAGAGAACAACGCCCACATTCCCAAATATCACTTATAAATGTTTGTTTTTCCTTTAAATGGGGTTGGTTAAAAATGGCAATGATCACAGTCAATCTCTTTTTGAAGGACAAAGGGAATAGGATATAGAAATGAATACTTTGTATTGGAATGAATTTTCATTTGTTGATACAAATTTAAGGTCAGTTTTGTTATATGTATGTTTCTCCTTGTTTAGCTGTTTATACAACTCTTTTAAAAATGTAAAGTATTATTAAATAAGATGATAATCACCTGAAATAGTCAAACTTATAGTTATGTTAGATTTTCTAGATATAAAGAGATATTTCAAATGGATAGATATTCTTCAAACCTTTCAAGGCCTTCAGAATATGGCATTTAAAATAGTTTAGGGTTTTTCATGACAGACACATCTGCTCCTGGCACACAAAATACGTCAAAAAGGAGGATGGGCATCACAGAAACTCATTATGGAGTTTGCCTTTGACATGGCAAGACTAACCATTTGGGCAAGAAACTGCTCTTGCCTAGACTGTTTGATAGACTGGACATGCAGGACCCACAAGAAAGTGATTAATGAATTTGCCAAAACAGGACAGTCCTGAAGGGTTCCTGCTTCATGGAAGACTCTGACAGACATTCTGCAGGACACAGAAAAATGACTGACAAACTGCCAATGCAGGTGGATAGTTTAAAATTTCCTGCTTTGCTAAGAAGTCTGCCAGACACACTGTTGCCTATGGGCTGAAGATGCATTCTCAAACGCTACAAGGGAACATCAGATGACTGTCCTGGCAGCGAGATGTCTCTTTCTGTTCTAGAGTTTGTAACTATCCTTCTGTTGTCTTTGATGGAGACAGGTAGTTATGGTTATAGTTTTCCTTAGTTAGAATTAGAGATAACTTACATATAAGACTTTATACTCACAAAGATAGGATAGATGATAGAATATTTTCTATAAATTTTGGCAAATGTAAATGAACTAAATATTGTAACTGTAGTTCTTAATTGATGACTGTTCGTTATATATTTTACCATGTTAAAGTTAAAGCCCTTTTTTAGACAGAAAAATGTAGATGATGGGGAACATTCTTCTGTGTATATGTTTGTCTTATTGGTTGATCAATAAAGCACTGTTGGTCAATAGGGAAGCAAGATGGGTAGGACTAGGCGTTGAGGAAGATTCTGGAAGATGTAGTAAAGAGAAGTCGCCATGTGATTCAGGCAGTGCAGAATCAGCATATAAGCAGGGACAAGCAGGAAATCGCTCTCTTCTCTGCAGAGACTCTGAGCAGATGCGATATAGACCCCAAGGGCGTATGAGGTCTGGACCTTTTCTCCAGGAAGATAAGGCCATGAGGAAATACATAGATTAGTAGTCATGTATTAATAATTAAGTCAGAGCTACCCTATAAGAAACCATAGCCACAACACTGTCAGAGGCAGAAGGATCTCCGTGAGTTCCAGGCCAGCCTGGTGTACAGAGTGAGTTCCAGGACAGCCTCCAAAGCAATACAGAGAAACCCTGTCTCGGAAAAAAATAAAAACAAAAAGAAACCATAGCCAGTGGCCAACAGCTTTATACTAATAAAGCATATGCATGTTTCTTTGGGGTAGAGAATAGCAGTGGGACCTAGCAGGGCCAGAGAAAACTCATGTAACAGAGTTCAGTTCCCAGTACACACCTCAGGCAGCTCACAGCAGTCCTTGCGACCAGCTCCAAGAAATCCAACCCTATCGTGGATTCTGTGGACACCAGTCACACTCACATTGCACAAGCCCACGCAGTGATACATGCACACAAATACATAATTTTTTAATATCTGGATATGTTAAATGTTTTGATTAGAACAAGCTTATATTTCCAGTCTTTAAAATCTGCTTATAGTTATCATTAATCATTTTGGTAGTGATTTTAATTTGTCTTTTTTATGATTACTTTTTGAATGTGTATCAGAGAAGAAAACATTTAATGTATGGAATGAGCAGGGTGTGATGGAACACAACAGTAACCCCTTGAGTGGCAGGAGGATCAAGAATTTGAAGTCATCCTCGGATACATGATGAGCTTCAGGTTCACCAGGGTTTCATGAGACCCTGTTTTTAGTTTGCGTGTATGCGCGCGCGCACACACACACACACACACACACACACAGTGAATTCCTTACGTAGGAATGGAGCAACTCCTCTTCAGTCCAGGTTTGATGCCTAAAGAATCTGGGTTCTGAAGTCTTCAAAGGAATGCAGCAGCTACAACAGTGGTGATACAGGCAGTTACAGGGTAAATGAACTCACAGGTGAGGTGGAAAGGCAGAGCGCAGCAAATACAGCCTTATCCCTATCCTCCTCCCGTGCTGACACGCTCATTGAGAAATCCCTTACAGCTCCGCCTAGTGGCTTACCTCTTAGCTGATTCCAGTTTAGTCAAGTTGGCAATCGTGGTTTACCCTCATGGAGGGGAAATACCCTGAGACCGCCTACCACCTTGTGTTTATGCGCTCCACTGTACTTGGGTGTGGTAAATGAGTACATGCAGATCACACTAACTGCCCTTACTGGATCCTTACCCTGGGTGGGGGTTGTTTTGCTGTTGCCAGTATCATTTTCTTTACATTGCAGTGAAGTAATGAGCATGTCCTTTTTTAGGTACGCTTTGTAAAGAATATAACCACCTGGAATGAGATGAAACCAGGGTTTTATCATGGACACATTTCTTACCTGGATTTTGCAAAGTAAGTAGCATCCAAAATGATGTACTAAAGATTGTTTTGTATGTCGTCAGCATAAAACAAGATAACTTCATTAAAGTGTGTTAGGATTTTTTATATATATCCATCCTGGCACACCTCTTTTAGACCTGTAATTTAAATATTCCTTCCAGTGCTTTACTGCCCTCTAGTGTTCATAAACTGACACTTCTCAAGTTAATTACAGGAACTGATGTTCTATTAAGTCAGGGAGTGTGATACAGTTTCTCATACACAACTGGAAGCCCAGGCCTGGAGTGCCCAGTTTTTTAACTTAGTCACCGTGGCTCACCAGGTTACTGACTGAGAAAATAAACTCTCAGTTTTTGGTACCTGAATGTGCTTTTTCCTAGAACGACTGTGTTTCTGCTTTGAAATTATGAGGTATTAGGGGGACACTTTTTAAAAACTCAAGAATTTCCTTTTATGTGTGAATTCAATTGTGTAAGTCAGGGTAATTTTGTCGAGTAATTCTCTTAAAGAAATTTTCAAAAGACTGTATACTACAAACTGTTTAAACATTCTGTGCCTCTCAAGGGCCCTTGCATCATGAAGGGTAATCAGGAAATTGATTAAAAGAAGTAGCCCGAGTATAGCATCTATTTGAATGTTCTCAGTGGGACACCTGGCGCCATTGCTGTAAAACCTGACATCCAAACGCTCTGCAAATACTTCTCTGTGTTAACTTCAGAACCATCAGAAAATGTACCGCTAACTTTAGGCATGTTCAAGTCAGTTTTTAAATTAGCAGTTGTGTCTTACAAGAATATATCAACTGTCAAAATTAAAAACGCTTTCTGTGTAAATTTTTTAAAACTAATGTTTGTTTGTTTGTTTTTTAAAGACTTATTTATTATGTATACAGTGTTCTGCCTCCAGGCCAGAATAGGGTACCAGATCTCATTACAGATGGTTGTGAGCCACCATATGGTTGCTGGGGATTGAACTCAGGATCTCTTAAGAGCAGCCAGTGCTCTTAACCTCTGAGCCGTCTCTCCAGCCCCTCTGTGTAAATTTTAAAATGAAAGGAGTATCTCAATTCCATTTAACTTTTTAGTTTTGAAAAGGAAAAAGAACAGAAAGGTATGTCACTGGGTCAGATAATAGGAAATCTTAGCCTCTCTGGAAATCATATAATTAATGAATTGCCCACATATTACATAAAGTGATATAGCCCTGATTTCCCTCATAATTCCTAGGATCTTTCAATAATGTACACTTTTCCATAAATAATTCACATTGCAATATTGAGAGCATTTTATAGGCAGCTTTAAAATAAACTAAAATCTCTCTCTGTGAGGCACTGAACCGGTTTCATAGCTGTATTTGTATGCATATTTCCCTGAGGGCTGCATTACCCTTCAGTCAGCGTTTGTTACCCTTTCACCTAAATGATTTAATTTTTCTCTACATGACCTGGTTTATAATACTGTAGGTTTTCATTATTAGAATTATATATTGAGTGATTTTTGCTTTGGGCACGGTCTTGTGCATAGAACAAAGCTATGGTGTTTGCTGAGGTGCTTGGACTTGAAACGTATAGGGTTTTTTAAAGAGTAGTCTTATTAAATATTGACAACAGTACTGGGTTTGAATATTTCCATATTGGCTCATGCTGTTGGAAGTAAGTAATATATTGTGAAAATTTTAATAAACTAACAAAATTTTAGACAAATGGCTAAACAGAATCAATTAGAGGAAACTGGTGTATTGTAATGTATATAGTCAAGAAATACTGTAGCTTGATAATCATAGACTCTGTGACTTAAGGAGGGAAGAAAGAAATATCGTTTACCTGTTTTAAAGTTCTTTATTCTTCAAAACATTGAGCTGAGAATGGTGGCTTATACCTGTAGTTTTAGTTGCATATGAGTCTGATACAGGAGGAGTACATGTTTGAAGCCAACCCAGACAACTTAATGAGATCTCATTTCACATTTTAAAATGAGGGCCTAGGTAGATGACCCGTAGGTAAAGTAGCTGTATCACAATTGTGAGGACCTAAGTTTGAATCCGTAGAACTAAGAAACCAGGCTTGTAGCCTGAGTCTGTAACCCCAGTGCTCTTTTGGGGAGGGGGGAGGGGGGAGGGGGGACACAGACAGCAGAGTCCCTGGGAGCCCGACAGCCAACTAGTCTGTTGGCAGCAGCAGGGAAGCCCTGGCTCATAGGACATGGAAAAGGAGGATGGACACCCAGTGTTGTCCTCTGACTTCACCCCTCTCCTTCCCCTCCTCCCTCGTCCACCCCACCAGGCCCCTTAGCCCCCACCCAATCCCCACTCGGATTCCCAGGTGAGGCCCTCCATGGGGTATTTGCATAGTCTGTCATTTTGTTCAGGACAAGACCCAGGCCCTTCCCCAAGGCTGAGAGAGCGTCCCTCATTGTGGGATGGGCACCCAAAGTCCATTTGTATGCCAGGGATAAATACTGATCTACTACCCAAAGCTCCAAAGATTGCTTAGGCCTCCTCACTGACAGCCACATTCAGGGGGTCTGGATCAGTCCCATGCTGGATTCCCAGCCATCAGTCTATGGTTCAAGAGTCCTTGTTCAGGTCTGCCTTTCTTTCTAGAGTGAAGGATTTATGCTTCCTGAAAATTGAAAATATCCATAACTATCCTACTTAAATTTATATTGTTCATTTGTCAGTAGCATTTATTGAATAGGAGTCATCCTAACAGATGAATGTTCTTGATACCACAGCATCATTGGTGAGATCAGTTCATTCACTTTTTTGAAACCAAGCAAAGGCAATCTGCTACTGATATGAACCATTTATGACTAAGAATCCCACACAAATATGTACAGTATGTGATTTGATCATCCCTAGCCATAGTTAAACAGACTTAATGACTGATGTAGTTGGCATTTTCTTTGGGCCACCAACCAGCTCCCAAATAAAGACACAAAGACTTAATGTTAGTTATGAATGCACAGCCTTATCTTAGGCTTGTCCCACTAGCTCTTTTAACTTAATTTAACCTGTTTGTTTTCATCCACGTTTTACCTCAGGGTCTTTACCTTTATTTCGTCCTGTATGTCCCACTTTCCTGCCTCCTCAGTGTCTGTCTGGCCCCTCTCATCTCCTTTCCTGTCTCTTTGAGCCTAATTGTCCTTCTACTTACTCTCCCTGCCTACAAGTTCTGCCTACATCTCCTTCCTCACTATTGGCCAGTCAACTCTTTAGTAGACTGATCAGGTGCCTACAAGAGGCAAGGTAAAACAGCAACACATCTTTACACAGTTAAACAAATGTAGCACATCTTTACATTGTTAAACAAATGCAGCACATCTTTACATAGTTAAGCAAATGTAGCACATCTTTACATAGTTAATAGTTAAACAAATGCAACACATCTTTACATAGTTAAACAAATGTGGCACATCTTTACATAGTTAAGCAAATGCAGCACATCTTTGAATAGTTAAATATTCTGCAGCAGACTGGCAGGATTGCTCAGCAGGTAAAGGCTCAGGTCATCAAGTTTGATGACCTGAGTTTGACCCCTGGAACCCACCCGCATGATAAAGGAGAGAAGCTTCTACCAACTATTCTCTGACCTCAACACATGAACATAAGGGCACACACTCACCACCACCAACAACAATAATATTGTGGTTTTAAATTGGTACTTAAATAGACATGGGAAATACAATACGTTGCAGAAGTCTCAAAGTATAGTTTACCCAAAGGCTGTCTGCACTCCTCACTCCTGAGTTCTCAAGGCTGCATAGGGCTGGAGTTGTCTAGTTGTGCCCAGTGATGGCTGGAGCATGTGTCAGGTTTCTGAGTGCCACACAATGTGTCTAGATGAGAAATCACTGATCAGCCTCTAGGGTACAAAGGAATTCATGCCTCTAGGGTCTGTGTCAGGGCCTCTCTGTGCAGTTTTCTAAATACAGGCTGTGTGACTGTCTAAACTCCTCAGTAAGCAGCCACCGCGGCATAGAGTGGGTAGACAGGGCCTGCCAGACACAGACCTCCAGGGCCTCTGCTGAGACTAGCCCCTCAGGACAGACTGCTTCCTCATTCCTTGAGGACATAGGTAGGTATTTGCCATCATTTCTTGTTTTTTATTGCATCCTAAGTATGAAATATTTCCCAGTTTTCACATACTCAGTTTCATTTTAATTAATTCATTTTATTGCTTCCATATACCACCAATACTTTAGACTTCTGTATATAATTCAGAGCATGCCTGAACTAATGAAAACACTGACCTCATCACTGGAATTCTGCTGTTTCAGATTTGGTGTGAAGAAGAAGCCAATTTATATTAATGTCATCAGGGACCCTATCGAGAGGCTGGTTTCCTACTATTACTTTCTGAGGTTTGGAGATGATTACAGACCAGGATTAAGGAGACGGAAACAAGGAGACAAAAAGGTAATGTGCTTACTGTTGATCGTAAAGTGCTCCTTGATTAGTGTTGACACTTTGTAAGGAGCTAGGACTGCAGCAATAGTGAAGTGTGACACAGTGAAGATAATTCGGTGGCTGGACTGTTACAGGTACAATATTGTTTTATTACAGTTATTGTTCTCCTTGCTACGTCAAAATACATGGTTTATTTCCGTTCATGGTTTGAAGCTATCCATCAGGGTGGGTAGGCATGGTGGCAGGAAGGAGAGGTATCTGTATTCAGCATGCACGCACACATACATGCTCAAGTATATTTCTCTGGAAATGCCTTCCGCAAACAAAGCCATACTTTGTCTCCAAGGTGATTCTAAGTTGACAATCGGTATTAATCATTACACCAACAATTTCATAGGGGGTCATTATTGATGAATCTGGTTTTGTATATATCCTGGTTCTTAGTCTTGTTGATGGTGTCTTAGAGTTTATTGCTATGAAGAGACACTGTGACCACAGCACCTGTTATAAAGAAAACATTTCATTGGAGTGGCAGCTTGCAGTTTCAGTCATTTTCATGATGGGGAGCATGGCCGTGTGCTGGCAGACACAGTGCTAGAACTGAGAATGCTACATCATGCAGGCAATAGGAAGTTGACTGAGACACTGGGTGGTATCCTGAGCATAGGAAACCTCAAAGCCCGCCCCCATAGTGACACACTTCCTCCAACAAGGCCACACCCACTCTAACAAAGCCACACCTCCCAATAGTGCCACTCCCTGTGAGATTATGGGGTCCAGTTACATTCAGATGACCATAGATGACAATCTACATTTACTTTAATCACCATCTTATGAAAACTGTTTTCCTAAAGCAGCTTTAAACAAGGAGAGAGCAATGACTAAAGCAGGTTTGTTGTAGCACTTCCTCGGAGGTATCCTCAGAGTCAGGTTCTCAGAACCACACTGGATTTGTTCCTTTTCCAGTGGAACACCTTTGTAAGCGTCATGCTCAAACGTTCCCCACGGTATGGCCAGGCAGTGAAGGTGTTTGCTGCCATGCCTCACAACCTGAGTTCAATTTCTGGGACCCACTTGGCAGGACAGAACTGTCCTCATTGTGAGGCATGCACACACAGACAACACTACACACACCCCAGAAGCAATAAATAAATAAATAAATGTAGTTATTTAATTACGTAAGGCTTAAGAGATACGATCTAAAATGATCTTGTACTTACCTCTCTGAAGCTTGATTTCCCCGTGTGCCCAGTGCAGTGCTTCAGCCACACAAAATACAAACGCCCTTAGAACTCATTATCTCTTCGTACTGTTTGTATGCATGTTGTCCCTCATGCTTAGAGTACTTTTTCTTCTCTTTAAAAAGCCTTTTGCTTACATCTAATATCAAACTTTATCATTACCTCTGCCATGTATTTGTCTCTGACGTTCACAGACTGAGATAGTCACATTCCTTTCAAGGTTCCCAGGGCTGGAAAGATGGCTCAGTGGGGCCCCAGTTGGGTTCCCAGAACCTATGCTGTGAAGCTCACAGCTGTCTGTCACTTAAACTCCAGGGGAACTGATGCCTTCTTATGGTCTCAGCACACATGTGTGTGTGTGTGCAATGTGCATGTGTGGGTCATTGCACACACATGAGTGCATAAGCACATGCATACATATACACAAATCTTAAAGGACCCCAGAGAACATTTGCTTATGTAGCCATTTGTTAATAGTTACCGATATAAGGAAATTTCATAGTTTACATAGAAAATTGTAGCTTGTTTTATTTTCCCCGTTTATTGGGAGGGGGTACCACAGAGCACATGCCAGAGGCTAGCTGTGGGAATTGATTCTCTCCTTTCACTGTGTGGGTTTCAGGGATCAAACCTTGGTCATCAGTCTAGGGGCAAGCACCTTTACCCGCTGAACCATCTCACTGGCCAGGGAACTTCTAGAAATGTTAACTTTAGAAGACTGTCTAATGTAAATAATCATCTTTCCCCCAAAGGAAAAAAAAACAAAACAAAACAGAGAGTGGCATCATTTTACATTTCAGAAAATCTTTCAGTATCTAATTTAGTAAAGATAGCCTGATTTTAATATTTTTAATTCAGTCAGTCCAATCAGTTGTACTTTTTTTTTGTCTATAAAGAAAATTCAACTTCATGCAAACATGTAGTTGGAAAAGACAATTTTACTAGCCTTTCCCCAAAATTGAAGCTGTTTTTAATATGGCAATGAATTGGACAAGTGGAAGGTCCAAGTGTAGAATGTGAAGCCACCGTGAACTTTTTACAGATTAACATCCATTCATGTGTTTGATGTTGTATATGGAAGTTTTAGTCAGGAAGTTTTCAGACATCTGAATTGTTTCAGACAGTGTTATATTGTACTCCCAAGGGTTAATGCATTTTGATTATACAGTATCAAAACTTCACATTCATTAACCCAACTACAGACGTTATCAGCAAGAGCTTGTAGGTGCTGGAAAACTGTAGGTTTATGATGTCAAATACACATTTCCAAAATGTTATTTCTTGTTTGGAAGCTTACTTTTTACCACCGGCTACTGTAGATTCCTCTACAGCACTACTGTGACTGTCTGGAGATGATCACTTAGCCTGTGCACTCCTGTAGATTCCTCTACAGCACTACTGTGACTGTCTGGAGATGGGCACTTAGCCTGTGCACTCCGTAGATTTGAGACAGTTTAAAAGGACTGTGGCCTTTACCTAGTAGCATCTTCCACACCTCAGATAAAGAGCTCAACCTGTCGCCAAGCATGGCTAATGCCACCGAGACCAGAGCAGCTTATAGGCAAAGACCCCAAACTGAGTGGCACTCAGTTATTTCCTTTCAAGTGACGCAGTTGACTTGTCTTAGGAAGATATCACCAAGCATGGGAGTGCAACCTTGGCAGACAAAGGAGCTATTGCTGCCGAGTAGGGCCAGTCCTTTGGCCACCACAGGGCCACCTCCCCTTATCGTGAAATGGAAGGGAAAACATTTCCTTTCCTGTTAAGCAGGTGACCCAGAAGCTGCCCACATTTGTTCTGCCTTTGGTCCACTAGCAAGCCTGTGACTGTATGCCACACTGTCCCCTGAAAGAAGGGCTAACAGTCTGAACTATGGAAGATTTGGTTTGGGAGACAACTTTAGTCTATCTGAGTCAGGTAGCAGAATTAAAACTACTGCCTAAAAACAGATCTTCTAAATTTTCTTTGCCTGAAAGACTAAAATACATGAAGAACACAGGAACCAGGAGTTTGCTAATTAAAGAATTGAGTTAAAATAGCTATCCGGTATGATTATTCAGTTTTAATTCAAATAGTATGCATGAAATCCTCAGAGTTGCCTGCATGTAGTCCACATTGTATACATAGTAAATTTATGGAGACTTTTAATATTGCAGTCTCCTAAGATGCTACTTTCTTATATGTAAGCCAACCTTTTCAATGTCTTTGAATTCACACACATAATTATGTGCACACATTGAATAGTAGTGGAGATGTTGAGTTTATTTAGTAACTTGCTTGTCTTCTGGCTTGTACTCTAGACTGACAGAGGCATGAAGAAGCTGAGTCCTTCTACTGAACTATAGGGAGTATGCCATGAGCTAGGGCCTGTTAGAAATGGGCATGGAATCAGAAGCTTTCTGACCTGTTGTACTTAGTTCCCTGAGCCACAGTCTTGATGAAAATTGGGGTATAATAGAGATAAGTGGAGACATAATGTGTGCTTGCTAGCTTCCCTGCCTCCCCTCCCAATAAAGCCATTTTTCAAAAGTAGGTTTCAGACAGGAAATCTAAATCAGAATGTCTTAATTTCTTGTCCTGTTGCTGTGACAAAATACCCTGATGAAAGTGACTTAAGGAAGAAAGGATTACTTGACTCACAGCTCCAGACTAGAGCCTCTCATTTCAGGGGAGTCAGCAGGGGCTGGAAGTAGCACTCACAGTGCATCTGTAGTCAACTGCAGAGAATAATTAACTAATGCACACATACTTGCCTTCACCTCATTTTCTCTATTTTCAATGGATAATATTCTCCCCTTTCCCTTTCTTCTCTCCAGACCCACCATGTACCTGTCCCCTCCCTTTCCGTATAGTCAGCAAGTTTTCTTACCTCACTCAGCAACAGAGAGAATCTCCCATAAGAATAGCTGCAGGCCAACCTAATTTAAACACACCTTTAATCCCAACACTTGGAAGGCAGAAGCAGGAAGATCTCTATGAATTCCAGGCAGCCTGATCTACATAGTAAGATTGTGTCTAAAAAAAACACATCTCACTCTCTGTCTTAGGGTTCCTATTGCTGTAAAGAGATATCATGACCATGGAAACTCTTATAAAGAAAAACATTTCACTAGGGCTGGCTTACAGTTTCAGAGGTTTAGTCCATTATTGTCATGATGGGAAGCAGGGCCGCATGCAGACACATGTGGTGCTGGAGAAGGAGCTGAGAGTTCTACATTCTGATCAGCAGACAACAGGAAGAGAACGGGCTTGACCTTCTGAGACCTCAAAGCTCAATCCCACAGTGCCACACTTCCTCCAGCAAGGTCCCACCTACTGCAACAAAGCCATACATTGTAATAATGCCACTCCCTATGGATCAAGTATTCAAACACATCAGTCTATAGGGCCATTCCTGTTCAAACCACTACACTCCACCCTCTGTCCCCCATAGGCGTTAGCCCATGACATAATGCAAAATAATGCATTTATTCCACCTTCAAAAATCCCCTAAGTCTACAACAGTCTCAAACTAAATAAGTTCAGAGTCTCTTCTGAGACTCATGTGATCTCTTAACTACAATTCCCTATAAAATCAAAATAAAAAACATCACATATTTCCAACATATAATGACACAGGATATACATTACCATTCCAATGGAGGAAAGGGAGGATAGTGAGGACTAAATACTGGACCAAAGCAAGACTGAAAACCAGGTGGGCAAACTCCAGACTCTGCATCTCCATGTCTGTCAAAATGCTCTTCAGAGCTCCAACTCCTTTCAACTTTGTTGATTGTAGCACACTTCTTTCTCTTGAGCTGGTTAGCAGCTCTCCTTGGCAGGTGACCCATGGCTCTGGCATCACCAATATGGGGTCTCGAAGGCATTCTAGTTTTTTCCTTCACAACTCCACACAATATCCTTTGTAGGCCTCCATGCAGAGACACCCCTGACACATGCCTGGACCCAGTGGCTTTCCTTAGTCATGGAGGGAGATTCCATAACCCCTTTCTTCTACCGTTGACTCTAAAGCCGGAGCCATGTGGCTGAAGCTGCCAAGTTCTGCTGCTTGCTGGGGATGGAACATGGCTCCCTTGTTCAATTACATCTTCATTAGCTTTCTGTTTTCAATGGTTTCCTACATTGCCTAAACTTGGCTGTCCTGTAATTATCTCTGTAGACCAGGCTGGCCTTAAGCTTAGATATCCACAAGCCTCTGCCTTCTAAGTGCTGGTATTAAAGGTGTGCACCACCATTCCTGGCTCTAAGCTTTTCTTTCTCTTTCATGAGTTGGAAATTTAGCTGGGTGGGATCTTGCCTTTAGGTCATCACCCTCTTTAGTTCATTTCTTCATCTATTTCCTTGAACACAGGACTTAGCTTCATTCTACTCCTGATATCCCCTTTCTCCTCAAATTGTACATTTTGTATTTTTCCTTGCTCAACTTGCTCCTTTTCATTATAGATCTGTGCAAGATTGAACACTAAGAACCACACAACAGAGTCAATTTTAGGCTGTTTTGAAAGTTCCTCTGCCAATGCAATTAATCCAAAAATCCTTCAATTTAGTCTCAGGCAAACTATTTTGGGAAAATGCAAAAAGCCGCCACATTCTTCACCAAAATGTTATAATCTGTAGGCCACACATTAATATTATTTTCCTCTGAAACCTCTTGAATCAGCCCCCAACCATTCAAATCACTCTCATTGCCACTTGTTCTCTGCAGCTCTTAGTAGGATGGCCCATTAGGCAGCACTTAAAGCATTCAACTGCTTTATCCAAAGTCCACATTCCTCCAAATAAAAGCACGATCAGGCCTATCGCAGCAATACCCCAGTCCCTGGTAGCAGCTTCTGACTTAGTGCTTCGACTGCTGCGAAGAGACAGCATGACCACAGCAACTCTTACAAAGGAAAACATTTAGTTGAGGCTGGCTTACAATTTCAGAGGTTTAGTCCATTATCATCCACACCCTCACACACTCCATCTAGGGAAATGCGTAAGTAATGGAATGGTCCAGGCCAAAGTTTTCCACTTACACAAATTAGACACACATGAAGAAAATTCAGGGAAATGGTGCAGTGCTATCTCACCTGTGCCATGAAGGAGGTGACTTTGTCTAAGGTTCACCAGTGCTCCGTCTTTAGTGCCTATGTCATCCCCAGTCACAGTCTTCAAAGCAGCACTATACATAGCAGTTTCTAGGCACCATACAGTGTGTTCTGAAATGCATTTGCACATGGCATGACCTTTTCAAGCCCTCATCACAGCTGAGCAGGAATGTAATGTGAAAACTACATGAAGCTTGTTACGGAGCTGAAGACAGCACATGCAGATAAGTGTACCCCCTTCCTGAGAGCTGTTTCCTAACAAGGCAGTGTATAGAACTCTGTTGTGGATCCCACAACCACTTCAGCCACAAATAAACACAGAGACACTATGTTAATTATTTAAACTGTTGGCCGATGACTAGGGCTTCTTATTGGCTAGCTCTGCCTTAATTATTGACCCATTTTTATTAATCTATGTATTTCCATGTGGTCTTACTGGAGAGGGGTCCGGATCTCTAACTCCTTTGGCGACTCATATGGCAACTAACTCTGCCTACCCTTCCCAGAATTCTCCTCATCTCCCAGTCCCACCTATCTCCCTGCCTGTTTTATTCATCAACCAATAAGAGAAACATATACACAGAAGGGCATCCCCTCCCCCATCAGAACTCAAAAAGAGAGGAAATGACTTTCAGCCAAAGGAGTAACTAACTGAAAGGCTGGACCTCGTGTAACCTTCACTGGCAGAATCGATCTGCCAAGGAAGAACATTCTAGTAAAGTTAGAGAGATTTGGGGTACTGGACCCCTGGAACTGACTGATATAGCATGGGTGGGTGCACCGAGTCAAAGCAAGCAGGACTAGTGTGTTGAGAGCCCACCAAGAAGCACTCGTGAAAGGAGGGACAGCAAGTGGGACCTTGTTGGCGTTTCTCACCAAGTGTCAGAAATGACGGCTGCAACAGGAAGTGTGGATGGCTGTAAGCCTCCGTGTGGGTGATGGGAACTGAACGTCAGAAATGACAGCTGCAACAGGAAGTATGGATGGCTGTAAGCCACCGTGTGGGTGATGGGAACTGAACGGGTCCATCTGTCCCTCCCTCTTGGATCCTATCTCACCTACTTGTACCGTTTACTTCGTAGCTTGTTACATTAAAAGTTTGCTACCTGGAGAGGTGAGACAATGGGTAAAGCTCTTGCCATGCTGTGCCAGGACCTGAGTCCCACTCCCTAGACCACATGTGACGGTGGGCTCAGGAGTGCATGTCCATGCTTGCAGTGTCCTGTGGCGAGATGGGAACTGAAGACAGAGCATTCCCGAAATCTCGTGCGCCAGGTAGCCTGACACTCTCAGAGATGAGCAAAAGACCCTGTCTCCAACAAAACGTAAGGCAAGGACCGACACCCAGGCTTGTTCTGACTTTCATACAGACACCATGGCATATGCATACCTACACTCACAAACACGTAGGCGTACAGAGATTAAAAATCTGTCTTTTAACTTGAGACGTGGTTTATGGCTGACAGTGCTCTTTTTCTCTTTGCTGCAGACCTTCGATGAATGTGTGGCCGAGGGCGGCTCAGACTGTGCTCCAGAGAAGCTCTGGCTGCAGATCCCATTCTTCTGTGGCCACAGCTCAGAATGCTGGTAGGAATACAAACTTCACTAAGGCGGTCGTCTTCCATATCTCTGCAATCCATACCTCACGGGCAGGAATGTGATACTCAGGACTAGGATTTTACTTATTAAAACATTTCCCCGAGGACATTCTGAGTTCAAGTTTTTAAAATAATTTTATATATGTATGTATTCTGGTCAAGCATTTATTTTAAGGCATTAAGGATCAGATTTGGGGTTCTGCACATGCTGGGCAAGGGCTAGATCACTAGGCCAACTACCCAGCTCTTCAGCTAACCTGAACTTGAGATTCTCCTGCCTCAGATTTTCTGGTGCAGGCATGCACTGCAGTGTCTGGTTGTTCATTGGTTTTGATAGAAAATCCACTCAAAATGAGTATTTTTCTCAAAGTATACTGTGAAATCCAAAGGCTTTCTTGGTCATTTGAGCCATGTAGGTTGACATAAAGTTCAGGGCCTGCTTGCAGGCTGCTGCAAAGCATCATGTAGAGAAACAATTGAAAGCATTGGAAAATGTCTTTTCAGGGTTCAGCCATTTCCTCTGGAAAGAAACCCAGTCCTGTGGCCCAAACATGGCTGAGCACTTGTTTTTTGTTAATAAAGCTTTATTAGAACACAGCCGCTATTGTTGGTGCTTTTACTCTCTGCTGAGATATAGCAGAGTGGAATAATTGGGATTAGTTGAGTTTTAATTAGAGAGAATAATCCATGTATTTCATACAGAATGAAATATATTGAGGAATATATTAGAAACCAACTAATCCCCATCCTCCTTCCCTCCATCTCTTGTAGCCCAGGCTGACCTTGAACTCTTGGCCCTCCTGTCTACACCTCCCAAGTGCCAGGACGCTAGGTATGTACTGTCACGCCCAGTTTCTTGGTCTGTGGTTTTGCCTTTCCTTTGATAGTTGAGAAGACAGACAGAAGTGAAGCCTCCACACAGGGTCACATTGACACTTAAAAAGCAGAGCTAGAGTAAAACAGACAGAATGTGAGTGATAGTTAGATCCCAGAAGTCTAGTCTATTTGAGATGAAACCTGTTAACGCATTAGCTGACACTGTAAACCAAAAGATTTTCATTAGTACAACTGTTTCTTACTTATTTTCTGTTTCTCCAGATTTCAAGAAAAAGTAAAACTTATGGAAAGAAAAGAAACAGACTTTACAAATTAAGATAAACACTAAACAAAAATTGCCGTGACTTTATCATAGGGGCTCTCAGAATGAACAAAATTTTAGAGTAGGGTTTTTTTATATTATTTTTACATTTAAATTAGAAACAAGGTTGTTTCACGTGGTAATTCCAGCTCCCTCTCCCTCTCCCCTCTTCCCGTGCCCTTCCACCAACCCCCTCCATCTCTGCTCCCCCAATCCCCACTCCTTTCCCCAGGGAGGGTGAGGCCCTCCATAGGGGTGTCCATAGTCTGTCATTTCATCCAGGGCAGGGCCTAGACCCACCCCAAGAGTCCAGGCTGAGAGTGCATCCCTCATTGTGGGATGGGCACCCAAAGTCCATCGTACACCAGGGATAAATACTGATCTACTACCCAAGGCCCCATAGATTGCCTAGGCCTCCTCACTGATTCCCACTAAAACATGGATGCACACTAAAGACAAAAAGAGACTATGATACAGATGTCTGTTCGCATTGAGAAGCCTTTGGTAGAGTCTAAGTAACGACATGGAGCGGAAGCTGCATGTGGACAGGGCGCTGCAGAGGGTGTTGGAACTGTGACTGTGTGTGTTCACCTACCTGTCTCCGCCATAGCACAGAGCGTCAGAAACGTGAGCACACTTAGCCCATTTCTCAGCCGGGTATTTATTTCCTTTTCTGTGGTTTCAGGAACGTGGGAAGCAGATGGGCTATGGATCAAGCTAAGTATAACCTCGTTAACGAATACTTCCTGGTGGGAGTTACTGAAGAGCTGGAAGACTTCATCATGTTACTGGAGGCAGCTTTGCCCCGGTTTTTCCGGGGTGCTACAGATCTCTATCGTACAGGTATGCACACGATAGGTTTCTTTCTAAAGCGTCCCTAGCTTGTTTGTTTTTTTACAAGTTGACTGTAACTAACTACGGCAGTTCTAGAGTAGTCGGGTGGGAGTGCTAAACACATGAACAGCTAAGTCTGCAAGTGTGCTTCCAGATACGCGACAGCAGTCAGTCTAATACCGATGGTGCTTTCCTGCAGTTGTCTAAAAGCATGCCGCCACCCAAACTCTTCCTAAAATCCGCATCTGCCCTCCATTCTCCACGATTGCAGCAAGTATAGCAAAGAGGCATTGTCTGTGTGCTCTGCAAGAATTATTTACTTTTCTTATGTTTCCATTGTAAGTAGGAAAGAAATCCCACCTTAGGAAAACCACAGAGAAGAAACTGCCCACCAAGCAAACCATCGCAAAGCTGCAGCAGTCTGACATTTGGAAAATGGAAAATGAGTTCTACGAGTTTGCACTGGAGCAGTTCCAGTTCATCAGAGCCCACGCTGTCCGTGAGAAAGACGGAGACCTCTACATCCTGGCACAGAACTTTTTCTATGAAAAGATTTACCCCAAGTCGAACTGAGCGCAAGTGTGGCCAAAGCAGTCTGTTGTCACCTTTGTCCTCAGTTTCCCACCTGCTTTGCTGATAGTGTCTGAGCCCGTTCTCGTGGGGCCGAGTTAGGGAACAGACTGGAATGTCAAGAAACTAGATGCTAAACGGGATGTCAGTGTTCTTAGGCGTTTTTAAGTGTAATGAATTGTTACTTCTTTTGTTATTTTGACATGTTACCTAAAATACACACAGGCAGGTTTCGTCAAAAGCCTGAGTGCCATCTCAGAAGAGGCTCTGTGCTTCTCTTGCTTTTGATAAAGCACTTCTTTTCACCTCTCTTGGATGCAGATGAGTCTGCTTGGCACTTCACCTTCTGGAGGCCTGTGTTGTACACCCCGACTGGATAGTGCTAATAACTATTTGTCAGTGTCTGATTTGTTTATGTGAATCATGTCTCACAGAGTTTATTGGAATGTTTGATCATGCTTTCTCAGAACTATTTCTGCTGTAGTTGGGTTTGTCCATATTTATGTAGGCTTTATTTTAGTTTTTGGATGATCATTAGTGTCAAAGAAATCAACTGAAAACCATGAATAATACTATAAAAAGACAAAACGGTTCAAGCAGTATTCCTGATTCCTGTCTCCCCAGTATCTAATATTGGGGTGGTATTTCTAAGAATGTTGACAACATTATCTGAGGCTTTCCTAAGGGTTTCCACGCATTCATATCAGAAAAGTGAGTTTAGTATTTGTTTCTCTGTGGCTTCTCCGTAACCCAGTACACTGAGGTACCGGTAACTGCATATGCCAACTCCATCAGTGAGCTGTGATACGGGTAGGATTTTCCTACCTCTGTACTTTACCTGTAGACTATTTTTACTACGGTGCTTTATAATGTGTTTTAAAGCATTGCATTTACAAAAGAGAAATGCTGTAAATATTGCATATTTTATGTATTTGGACCAAAAAGTTACAAGTAAGTAGACAAAAGTGGTTTTGCACCAATTTTATTATGTCGAGTAAAGTCATCCGACCTATACTATTCTTGTATTTCTCATTTAACTTTACTGTTGTGATGTCACTGAAATGAGCTCACATAGCCTTTCAATTTTGATATAGAGCTTTACTCAGCCTGAGGCATTAGTGAAATGGAAGAGTACTAGACAGTCTAAACATTTGATCTCTGCTTCCAGCTCTACCTTCCAGCCGTGTGGCGCAAGGCAAGTCACTTAACCTCTCTTTGCCTCGGTTTCCTCATCTTGAGATGAGGATACTAATGCCTACTGTGCCTACCTCACAGGACTGTTAGGAGGACTACAGTGGCATGGTAAGAGCACTTTGGAACTGCCAAGTGGTGTTTAAATAGAAGTATCTCTAACACAAGTTTCATACTGTCCATTCTTTTAACAACGAAAAGGGGAAATCCACTTTTAAGCTTTATGAAAGAAAAAAACACCCTTTATCTTGATATAAATTTGTGTTTGATAAATATCCTCTTGGTGTTTATCTTCCGTGTTTCAGCAACTATTGAAACGTGAAACACCTGTGAACTCTGGCAACTGGGGATCTTCATTAGCTGAGGAGGAGCGGAAAAACCTTTGCAGACTTGGGTGTTCCTGTTTTCGTATGACCTTGTCATTCAAAATGGTGGCTGTGGGTTTTAAAGTGTGTTTTGTAGAGTTTAATTTGCCTCTTAATTCTTCACCTTCTCCCTCTTCAGATTCAGAAATCAGATTCCTCTCAGATAGACTAAAGGAGTAATTATTTATATGTTCAGCTTAAATATTTCTGAACAATACCTCATCAAACAAGGCATTTTTGACAGGTGGCTTCAAAGTTACTTATTGTGTAGTAAGAGGAGCAAAGAACACTGTGTATCAGAAAGCACTTAGGAAGACTAAAGGAATGACAGTTTTGCCTGCCCCACCAATATGAAAATAGTAAGAGAACATAGCAGCATTTCCCCTTTTTTCCCTATCCTCCCTTTGCAATCAAGTTTCTAAGTATCCGCTAAAAACAAGTGCGGTTTTTGGTTGGTTGGTTGGTTGGGTTTCTTGTTGTTTTTGTTTTGTTTTGTTTTTTTTCCCCCAAAGTTAAAGAGCCACTTGCAGACAGGCAGGCATTTGGCTGTTGAGTAAATCTGGGGTTATTCTTGGGAGTTGGAGCAAAACTTAGGTAATTAGGGTAGCACTTAGAATACTGGCTGGGGCATTCCTAAGCTGTTCTCGTAGAAGACTGGAGTGAATACATCAGGTCCCTGTGACAGCCCCTCAACTCTCACTGTTGCAAAGAAGCTTCGCAGACAACAGAGACGGATGACCATGGTTGTAACCCAGATAAACCTTAGTTTACAAAACAGACAGCATGCTAGGTATGGACCATGAGCTGCAAGCCCCTGCACTGTGAGGAATCATCATGGAGAAGCCATGTCTTTCTGAACCAAGTTCCCCAATGAGTTTCTCTCTGACCCAAGAACTGCTTTCTGACTCGGTCTCCCCCATGGATCCTTCCGTTTTTGTTCATCACTTCCATGAGACCACATTGTCCTAATTTACAAGTTCAAAATTGGGACATTTCTCTTTGGAATGAATGGGTTCAAAGTGTCCTTTACAAGAACTAAGAAAAGGGTAGATTTGTTTCTGTTTGATTCAGTATAGTCCCAGGAGTCTGAGTCCTTAGAATATATAACTTTACCGTCAAATAAATAGAACCACTGAGACAATGTGTATTTTTTAAATGTGGCAAATGGGCTTTTCCTTTTTTTTTTTTTTTTTTTTTTTTGCCTTTGTGTTTTTTCAGTAATTTGACCATAGGGAGGTTGCTTTTATATGATAGTAAAACAAATTAACAACTTTGAATTTTGAAGATGATGTATATGTGTATATATATCTATGTTTATTTCCTACAAGACCAGAGGTAGCTTTGTGTTCAACTTGTACCAACTGTTTTTTATTGCTGTGAATGGCAACTGTTGATAAACCATTGCGTTTTAAAAATGTAGTGGGGAGGATGTATTTCGATTTTCATCCAGCTTTAATCTGTTAAGTGTCGTATTTACCTGACAGCAACACTTGAAGTACTGCATGGGAGCGTCTTCCATGTCCCCTGTACAGTCGTACAGTCTCCACCATCCTGCTGCTTCTAGACTTACGATGATTGGCTTCAAATTTCCAAAACCCACAAAGTTGAAAGTCTCAGACTTTTTTAAACACTCAGCTTTACTTTCTAGTCTGGAAAATGCATCTAACGCCTATAATTTGAACCCTATTGGTCTTTCTCATTATAGGTCGTGTTGGAAAGTCCTAAATTTGTTAGCTCCTTCAGGGAATTTACCATAGTATTTTGATGTTGTATTTGCATAGTTAGATACAAAATAGTTTGTAGATGACAATTCTCTCTTTTTCAATAAAATGAAATTTTCTAAAAAATCTAAAAGCACCAGAGAGCATAACTAAAGCCTGGTTCCCTAAGGCATAGCTGGTGTTCTAGTTGATGGTGTGCTCACAGACCATCTGTGTGAGTTATCTTGACTGTTTTCCCAGCTGCCATTTTCAGACATAGCTGTGGGCCCAGGAGCCTTTGTTGTAGGAATGTCTGGTACCTAAGCCTTCTGTGAAACTTGTCTTTACGAGGTTCAAATGCTGTCGTATTAGTGCAATTGCTGTTAAGTCTTTGTATCCGTGTAGTCCAGGCAGAGTTGCTGTGTGTGGTGAGGCAAACTGCTCTGCAGGTAGTGTCCTGAGAGAAAAGCCACCAGTTCAAATGAACGTCCACGTTGGTCCCTAGGAGTAGTGCAGCTTCCTTTCTGATTTCCTGAAGCAGGGATTTGAGGAATTGGGTGATCAGTTCATCCCACACTTCAAGGTTATGTAGCTTGGTGACTTTCGCAGTGTTGTCTGTGAAGTAGGCCCTGACGGTTACAATCTGTTAGAAATGCCGTAGCCTGTTGAGTGAAGTGTGTGAGTGTCTCTTAGTGTCCAGTGTATTTTTAATGAAACAGACAAGGCAGATTATGACTTTTGCTAACCAGTGCCTGCCCACCCCCAACTTTTGGAGAAATGTTCCTGTTCTCTCCTCCCCTCTGTCTCCTTCCCTCTCCCTGCCCTCTCTACTCACCAGTATCATTTTTGCTAGGCTTTCCAACGTGAAACCATTTTGTTGCGCCTCTTGGAGAGAGAATCACCCCTTTCCCTCAGCTACCTTGCAGCTTTCTGCGGAAGTGCTTCAGTCCAACCCAGAGCAAAAGCTCCGAAATGGACACTGCAGGAAAGGAGAATGTGGCTTGGTGTCCTTCCTGACTTAGTATTTTCTTCTGCTGCATTGATGCTGAGAGACAGTTTCCAAGGGGACTTGGTGTTCAGTGTCACCCAAGATTGCTGATATGGTCACCAGAAAGTCCTGCGTCATCGCCAGTCTGCAGTGCTTTCCTATCTTTGACAAGCTTTTATGTGTGTTGACTCCCATTGCCTTTGCATTAATTGGTCACTGGTGTTGACATTTCAAATAGGAAATTTATAAGGTATCCTGAGGTATGCGGTTAGCAAGAGGAGAAAGTATTACGGGGCAGGGCTGTTCAGATAAGAGGAGATGGGAGTGTGTGGATCTGGTCAGCACTTGGAGCGCTGTCTTCAGGGCATGACATGGCCATCAGTCTTGAAAACAGCAGCAGTACCACCACACGAGACCCTGACAAGTTCAGGCACTTCTGTTTTAAGATTTACTGGTTTTAGCAAGGCATGGTGGTGCATACTTTTAATCCCAGCACTTGGGAGGTATAGACAGATGAACCCCTGACTTTGAAGCCATCTTGGTCTGCAGAGTAAGTTCCAAGACAACCAGGATTGTACAGTGAGATCTTGAAAAAATCAAAACCAAAAGCTGAAATAAAGATTTATTAATTTTGTCTGGTATGGTGGTGCATGACTTTAATTCCAGCGCTTGGAAAGCAGAGGTAGGTGGAGCTCTGAGTTCAAGGTCACCCTGACCTACATCAGAGAGTTTCAGAACAGTGAGGGCTACATAGTAAGGCTTTTTTTTTATGAATGGGTCTTTTGCTTGAATTTATGTGTGTGTACCATGTACGTGCCTGGCACCCACAAAGGCCATGCATGCACATGAATGTATGTGTGTGCGCGTGCGCTTTGACTGAGGAGGTCAGAAGAGAGCATCAGATTTCCTGGAACTGAAGTTTACCGAGAGTTCTAAGCTGCTATATGGGTGCAGGGAATTGAACGGGTCCTCTGCAAGAGCAGCAAGTCCTGTTAACCCCTCATCCATCGCTCCAGTCCCCAGATCACACTTTGAACATAACTCCTTAGAGGGAAGGGGGAGAGGGTAACTAAGCCTCACCCGGGAGTCTACTCACTCTCTCTTTCCTTTCTCCCCACCCCTGCTGTATGTGGTCTTGGGACATAGTAGGGCACATGGGAGGTAATAGCTGCGGGGGGCCCCAACTATCCAGCCTAGGAAAGGTCATCTATATTGGGGTTGGACTACTACCACCGTTTGGTCTCCCAGGCTCACCAAGCCCTCTCTTGGATTTGGAGTTTCAATTGCAGTGTAATATAAGAAATAGGAAACACAGATGGAGTAATACACCCAGTCCTAACCTCACTGGCGACCAGGGTTCTCACCTTGTTACCAAGACAACTTAGAATATACATCGAATCAATGTGAAAATCTGGTTGTTAGAATCCGTGTGGAGCCAATGTACAAGTGAGTCCAGTGCCTAACAGTTCAAATGTTCATTTCACAAACGTGAGTTGACCTAATGGGGTATTTCATGTAGCACCCCTAAGATTTAAAGTGTTTGTGGCAATGACAGTCGATTTGTATAGATTGTGTTGAATCTGAAGGTTCTCTTGATAATGTTGCCAGACTGAGCCGTAAGAAATGTAGAGTGCTTTCAGAGTTTTAGGTGTTCTGTACTGTAGTGTGTTTTTAAGCTTCTCTTAAAACTGACTAGCTGAAAAGAAAATTTTTTTTCTAGGTAACCAACCTCACCAGTAATTTCACTTGAAGTAGGCCAAGCCTTCAGAA